ATTAGGACAGGGCAGTGACTCTCCTGATGTTGAAGCTGTGCCTTAGCAGAAGTAATGTGCTATTGTTTCTTCCAAAATGTGTGCAGCCTTCATTTTGGATGGTTTTCTTTGTCTCACCTTTTGTAGTCTTTATTAAGCCTTTTAAATACATAGAGGGTTAATATATTCTGTTCTGCCAGAGATATTTAAAGTATATATTCAGCTGTGTTTGAAAGAGGAATTTTCGTCTGTTGGCTTTGTTTAGCAGGGACATTGCCTTAGGAGTTGAACCGAAGTCACAGGAAGGTGGGGTTCTTACCGCTTACTTTGACTACTGTTTGGCAACATTTTTATTTCTATTAATTTTTGCCTGAAAATTGATAATCTTCAGCAATCTGTGATTTTTAAAAATGATACATTCTGAAAGAAAAGTATTTAAATGGGCAAAGCTGAGGTTCAAATATCCCAAACAAATGCAGCATGAGTTTTTCCTTCTCAGTGTACCTTCTCCATAGTGTCCTATTTATACCAAAAATACCTTTGTTTTTATGTATTCCTCAAACTTAAAAATTGATGTCCTTCCCATACCAGACTGTGGAGTCCACAGAAACTTGTGTATTGAGTCACCGGTCACACTCCTGGCTACCAGCCACCGTGCGTCTGCTGTCACCAGAGCCTTGCTGATCTTTGAAAAGCATCAGGAATTATTTCTCTGCTCCTGAAAAGCCAAATGTTGCAATGTTAATGATTTGTTCAAATACCTGTCATGATCTAAAATATATTCTGGTTAACAGGGTTCAGTATATTCTTTGACAGAGGAAACTTCAGAGTACTTACCAACCATGCCTTTCTCCCCACCCCACATTCCTTCCCAGGTCCATCCAGGCAGATAGTAAATCATCCAATGCAAATTGCATCCAAATAACATTTTTTAAGGAAAAAAACGAGTATTATGAAAGTTTGCCATGAATTGTAATAGAGTATCATCTGTAATAAGAAAGTTTGATAGTTGTTGCTTGTAATACAGTGTCTTTGTGACTTGAACCAGCTGGCAGCATTCTCAGGCATTTTAGACACCTTGTGCTGTGAAATGAACCTGGGAACAGTCGTTCTATTTCACATTCCGCTTCCTTGACACAAACCATGCCTGTTCCCATTGCAGACAGGTGCATACCCGTGGTGGAGAGTGCAGTTTCAGTGAGAGTGGTTTTGCTCTTTCCAGAAGTCCAGACTTCTCTCCTGTTTCCCTCCCTCTCTCTGCCTGCTGTGCTCTTCTATGTGGATGTGCAGAAAAACCTTTCTGCAAATCAACACTTAGGCTTGGACACTCGTTTTGGGAAGGATAAACTGATGCGGATCGATGTCTCTCTCTGTGTCTGTCTATCTCTTGAAATGCTCCCCAAATTGTCCTAGTCTTAGATAATTTCTAAGAAGGTTTCCTCCACTGTCAAAGCCTTGGACACACATAAACATTGGCTAGAGCTCCTTTTGGGCAGAAGAGCCCTGTTGAGGTGTGTGTCATGGAAGGATGTAGGAAGTAGTTCTAAGTGATGTCAAATCCCTAGGGCTGGGTCTTAAAGACTTTCTGTGTGGAGGAGGAACTTTTTAAAAAATTTAAATATGAATGTATCTGTGTACTGCATAATGCACCAATATTTTGATATCCTAAAGGGACTTTTAACATACACCAAAGGGGCTTTTTTATAACAGGATTGAAGAAGTGTTATTTATGTTTTTGCAAAGTAGCCAAAATATGTGCTTTTATCTTTGGATGTATCACATCTTAACTTTTTTAAAAACTACATTAAGGAGACTCTTTACATATTTCTGTGGCAAGAAAATAAAAACAAATTTTATGGACACTTTAAAATGTTGTTCTTTTTCCTCCTTAAAATTCCATAGCTCTTTACTGATGGGAGAATGACATTTCTTACCAGTCAACAATAGACCTATCAGCATAAACTAAATATTATATTTTAAATTTAAAACGTTATCTGTTATAAGGGATACTTTCTAACTTCTCCTGAGGTCTCAACAGGAAAAGTGATCACCAGTTTAAAAACTGAAGTCATTCCATGAAAAATACAATGTGCTGCAAAGTAACTGGGCTGAACAAGGTCTGGAAAATATTTGTGAAGCAGAAAGAGAAATAGGTAGTGCATGATATTGCATGTGAGAGTTTCCATGGTAATATCCGTAGGTGGATTTGTGGCTAGTCACTTGGCATCTGTGATAATCCAAAAACCTGAAAGAGATTTGTCATTAGCGATTGATAAATATTTCGGGGTTGACCTGTTAAAGTGGCCTGGATAGGGAAAATATGTAAAGGGATATTAGGCCTCTCATCTAAGTGTAGTTGTTTTTCATTATAGTATTCTATGATCATGGACCGTCACCATGTGCTAGGCTCTGTGCTAAGCTTTATGGAGAGAAAATAGAAGGCATAGTCCCTTCCTGTAAGAAGTGACTACTGAGAAAGAAAGGCAGCTAAATTAATAATAATAGGGGTACAAGAGGCAGAGAGAGAGACATAGATTGGTGATACCAAGGAGAGGCAACCAGTTTTTTTTAAAAAGGGGATGAGGGGTGCCAGGGAGGCTTTTCTCAGGAGAAGAGAGATGGTGCCCAATCCAGAACTTACTATCTCCTGCCCATCTTGACATCACATCCACAACTCAACAATAAGTTGGAGCTGCCATGGCTTCATATTCTGTTTTCATATTTTGTACTGACTTTAATACATGTATCATTTCTCTTCTCCCTGCTAACTCATCTCAGAATACACACTAGGTTGGTGCATGGAAATATGTTTTAATAGATTTACATCACATGGGGATTGAAGTTTTCTCCCAGAATTTAGAAATGCATCTTAGATGAATCACCAAACACTTTGATTGCTATTATACTCGAAGTAATTTAGTGATTACTTTTGGAATTGTTTGCATTGGCAGGAATTGTCATTTGCTCTTGGCTGCCTGTGGACTCCTGAAAGTCATTTATCTTCTATGTGCTCATTAAAGCTAAGCTTGTAAAATTTGAGGCTGGATTATAACACTTGAATTTCACCTTGAAGCCATCTGCTTTTCCAATACATGTAATTGGATTTAAATTTAAATCTTGCCAAATTTGTAGGCAAAGTCCACTTTAGGGGTGACCTAATTGCACTAGATCTTGCCATGAGTCAAATATCTACATGGAAACAGATCTTGCATTTCTACTTCTACAGATCCTGCAGTCAGGAAATCCTCCTACTTCTGTCATGTGTTACCCTAGTCTGGCTTCCACACTTACTTTTACAAACCCTGTAAAATGGACAGCCTTTACTTTTCCCGCCCTCCGTACCCCATCCCACTTCCTGAGTTGAACAGTATCCCCTTAGAGCAGCTCCCTGACCCAGCAGACCTCCAGGACAGGAAGCAGTTCTCTGTTGCTCTTTTGTCTCTGGTTTGTTTTTTCCCCTGTCTCCTTTGCTACCCTACTTTAAGTAGCTGTTCTCCAATGCTCTGGCCTTCATCAGCTTGCCTGTCCATGTCACCTGCTCTCCATCAGTGGGCCCATCCTTTGCCACACAGTGTCCACCAATCCCCTACACCCACAGCCACACCGACCTCCTGTGCCCCTTGAACAGCAAAGAGAGCGGTACTGCTGCTCCCGCTGCTGCCTGGAATGTGCTTCCCCGGAAAGCCCATGGCTTGTTTCCCCACTGCCTGCAGGATTTCGCTCTAATGGAGCCACCTCGGTAGGATATTCTGAGATAGTATTTACTGCACTTATTTATTTCTTTAGTTTCCCCTTTCTGGAATGTGAACTCCATGAGGTGAGAGACTTTTCATCTTAACCTCCAGAGCCTTGAACAGTACTTGGTCCATACAAAGTGTTCAGTCAGTACCTGTTGAATGAATGAGAGAATTAACGATCCCTGGCATGGGGTGCTGCAGTGCAGATGAAGAGTGCTCCTGTGGCAATCACAAGCTCTGCCCCAGCCAGCTGAGTGGTGCTGCGGAGCCCCTCACCTTGAGTGGGCCTCTGTTTCTGGTTCTGCAGATGGGGAGTGTGTACCAGGGGCTCTGAGGCCCCTTGAAACTGTAACACTCTTTCACAGTCCTGGAAATAAGATATGATGTCATGTAAAATGTTATTTATGCGACTCATCACAACTTGATGTTATAGCATAATTGCTATCTATGGAAAAAATGTCTCTTTTAAAAAAGAAACAATAGTCGAAGTGAACAAAACAGTTTCCAAATGAAGCTGTAAAAACTAATGCATATTGGTGTACTGCCATGTTTACTATCTTTTAAAAAAATATTTTGACCAATTTTTATTTATTTATTTATTTGAGACCGAGTCTGGCTCTGTCACCTAGCCTAGAGTACAGGGGCACAATCTCAGCCCACTGCAACCTCCAGCTCCTGGGTTCAAGCAATTCTGCTGCCTCAGCCTGCTGAGTAGCTGGGATTACAGGCGTGAGCCACCACGTCTGGCTAACTTTAGTATTTTTGTTTCGTAAAGACAGGTTTTCACCATGTTGGTCAGGCTGGTCTCCAACTCCTGACCTTGTGATCCGCCCGCCTCAGCCTCCCAAAGTGCTGGGATTGGCGTGAGCCACTGTGTCTGGCCTATTTTTGTTATTTTTTAGACAGAGTGTCTCTCTGTCACCAGGCTGGAGTGCAGTGGCACGATCTCAGCTCACTGAAATCTCCACCTCCCAAGTTCAAGTGATTCTCGTGCCTCAGCCTCTCGAGCAGCACCACCATGCTTAACTAATTTTTGTTTCTTGGGAGACTGTTTTGTAGAGACAGGGTTTCACCATGTTGGGCAGACTGGTCTCCAACTCCTGGCCTCAAGTGATCTGCCCACCTCGGCCTGTCAAAGGGATGACAGGCGTGAACCACAGCGCCCGGCCTGTATTGACTAATTTTTAAAAGAATTACCATTGGCTATAGCTAAATGTATTTAATAGCCTGCCTATTTTTATCAAATTAAAAAGCAATAGCAGTCTTTTCTTCCTTTGATTTTAGCAATTTCCTGCTGCAGAGAGCATTTTAAGAAAGGACAGTGTTCCTGTGACCTCAGCCTACCATCCATAAAATACTCATTCCCCTTTCAGGTAAGCATATTGCTTTGCTTTGATCCATTCTGAGCAGAAAGTATTGATTCTCTCTGAAAACCTGTGTCATTATTGCACCTAAGACAAAGAAGCTGAGGTTTCAGATATTTTGCTGTTGGGCAAAAAAAAAGAAAGTTCCACCTTTGAGGTCCTTGCCAGGACCAAAGTATCAGTGATGGCCATTTGCCTTTCCAAGGGGTTTCATGATACACCTTCTACATATCTGCTAGTTGTTAGTTTGTTAAATGCTGTGTGCTATTTATTGGGTAGTCTCCCAGGAATTTATAAGTCGTCTGTGTTTTTAAAAATTTTTTATTTTTATTTTTTAGAAATGGAGTTTTGCTCTGTTGCTCTGGCTGGAGGGCAGTGGTGTGGTCCTTGCTCATTGCAGCCTCAAACTCCTGGGGTCAAGTGATCCTGCTTCCTCAGCCTCCTGAGTAAGGCTCTGAGTGTGCACCACCATGCCCGGCTAAGTTTTTAAATTTTTTCCCTAGAGATGGGGTCTTACTATGTTGCCCAGGCTGGTGTTAACTGCTGGCCTCAAGCAGTCCTCCCACCTCGCCCGTGCAAAGTGTTGAATTTACAGGCATGAGCCACCTGGCCTGGCCAGAAGTTCACTGTCTGTGCTTGGGGAATGAGATGGTGGTGCAGGGTTAGCAGCAAAGGCACTGGGAGTGGGTGACTAGGAGAGATCTTTACAAGCTGGCCCCTTAATAGAAGGAGGGTTGAAAGAGAAGAACTTAAATTCCAATCCAGGAACTGAGATTGAGGGGGTGGAGCATCTTTGGAGAATGGCCAGCCAGCAGGCCTGGGAATGGCAGGGTGCTTTTCTCCACATCCGCACCACTCCCGGGACTCCTTTCTGGTCCCCACAGCTGATGGAGAGTCTGGAAACATTTTTTCCAGGTCTCTTCCTCCAGCCAGACTATCTTCCAGGAAGGAGCTGAGGAAGTGGAGAACGGTGGTCGAAGTACAGATGGTTCCCTCTTTTATGGAGGGACTGAGAGCTTAATACCACCAAATGAGGAGATTAGAAATGTTTAGGAAAATAAAGACAGTCTCCGGTTATCTCATGTCCACAGTGAGTTTAGGAGTGTAAAGAGCAACCCTCGGGAGAACAGAGCCTCAGCCTCTGTTTCCACATTCTGAGTGGCCCCATGCTTGGATTTGATTGACAGCCTTCCTCAAGCTTCCTCCAGCTTCCTTTCCAGCATCCATTTGTAATGTACCCTTGCTTATATAGTAAGCCATACATTTTGTAATTTATTATTATAGCATTATGCAGGATATTGTTAGGTGATGTGATCACTCTTCTAGAACCTTTGAATCAAACTTACGCCGACAAATAAGAATCAGCCTGTGCCAGGCAGAATTCTGCAATCTGTAGAAACAGGAAGCCAACAATACCCCTCAGTGCTGTACCTAAAGTCTCTCACTCTTATCGCCATCTTACTTATCTTCTTATCTCAGATATAAGAAGCTCTAATATGAAAGCCTGGGCTCCTATTGGCTGGAAGGAACTTTGCATCTGCCATCACCAGCACTTGTGGAGCTGAGGTTGTAGAACTGCACCGAAGTGCAGTGGACTTAGGAGGGAATGCCTTCCAGTAGGCCCATGTTTTTCATTCTGCACCATTCTAAGGAACTCAGCCATCCTGGTTTGCCCATGACTGAGGGGTTTCCTGGGACATGGGACTTTCAGTGCTAGAACTGGGAAGTCAGAGCAAAGCAGGACATGTTGGTCCCTCTTGTGATCCCAACACCCCGCCTCTTCCATACATGGCTGCAAGATGTTCTGCTCACCGGGATGGTTGCTGACGGCAGTGCTAGTGGCCGGGGAGGAACTGCAGAGTAGGCCTGGCCGTCATCAGAGCTCGCCTGCTTAGTAATCCATTTGGAGAGACTGGAGTGGTTTGCTTTACTTCTGTGAGCCTCAGTTTCTCATATGCCAAGGAAGAAGAACAGCAAGGCAGTGGGGGTATAGGGGAGGTAACAAGACAGAGCAGTGTTGATGCCTGATGTAGCCTAGGCATGCAAGAAGGGGCAGACCCCTCTCCTCATCAACATAAACCATCCAGAGAAGACAGTCAGTTACCTTTACAGGCATAAAGTAATTGGCTTGAGCTTTACCAATACTATTATTTACCTAGGCAAGGAAGGTTAGACAGAACTCAGCCAGGTGACTCACCAACACAGTGTCACCTGGGTTGCAGGCATAAATCCTAGCCCCAATACCTTATTCTTAAATAACCTTAAGTCAATATGTGTAAGTTACTTTGAGTTTTTATCAGCTTTCCCGTAAATAGATTGAAACATTTTTTAAAGTGCTTTAAGAATGTTGTGAAAAGCATAATTTGTTTCTTATCCATATCCAAATATTTTTAACTTTCAGGTTATTATTGCATTTAAGGTTCATTAAAACATTTTTCTTTCTTAGATTCTTAAATTACAGATTAAGCAGGCTTATGAATACATATGCATTATTATTGCCATTAAATTTTCACTACTCTCGATATATGAGTTTAAGATTACTAGATTATTTTGTTTTTAGAGAACACACTGGTCTTTTTAAACGTGGCTCCTTGTTTAAGGAAACTAAAAGGCAACTGAAGTCATGAAATAAAATGATATTGTAATGTTCTTTTGATCAAACTTTTTTGAGTTTTTTTAATCATAGAACGTGATACATCCTGAATAATGTATATATGTAAGTCATTTCTAAAGGAATACACAAACACCAATTTCTGTGCATTACGCATGTAATTACAATTTCAGGAAATAAGCTTGAAGGCCTCCTTTGTTTTTAGTTCCTTGTTTTCTTATTCAAACTTATGTAATTGATAAAGTCAGTTTCTCCTTGAAAGTTTCATTTTTCAGAACTTCTGTCCAGATTTTTGCCTTTTTAACATGGTGCATGCTAGATGCTTGAGAAATTACTCGGAGTAAAAACAACCCTCGCACATTTATTTTGTATGTTAAATGGGCCTGCCCAAAAGTACAGGCTGATTTTTTCCGACACCTTTTTTCCCAACTCGGTGTTTCCTAAAGCTGGTCCTCCAGAATGAGAGGTTTGTACCTCGTCCATGACTCATATCATCCTCTCATGCCAGCACCCCTGACTTTTGCCTCTCCCCAGATTAGCAGTTTGCCAAGAGAATGACTCAGAGCTCAGATTCCAGTAGTACAGTCAGGTGTGGCTCTTCTGAGGCCATCTCAGCTGACCTTGAGCAAGGTCTCCTCAGGAACCAGGAGAGCCGGCACAGCAGTGAGACCCACTGTGCTGGGAGCCAGGCTTGCTTGCTGCTTTTTTAAAAAGAGGAAGAGGAAAGGGCATTCTCTGGGGAAAGTAGCAGGGATTTTAGATGTTTTATTTTCCTTATTCACAGAAATTTTATATGCTTCTGTAAGGATAGATATAGGGATTGTCTCCCTCATACTCAGAAAGAAAGTATAATTCTATTTTTGAGGATTTAACATGCATTTATTATGAAGTTCAAAAAATTATTGATTGCAATTTAAATTGTCAAATTACAGCAGGGTGTTGGTGGCTTACGCTTGTAATCCTAACACTTCAGGAGGCTGAGTTGGGAAGATCGCTTAAGACCAGGAAGTCAAGACCAGCCTGAACGACATAGTGAAACCCTATCCCTACAATTTTTTTTTTTTTTAATTAGCCAGGTATTATCACTTCTTGGGCTTTTGGCTAAGAGCAAGTGTAAAAGATTAGCCAGCTATTGTGGCATGAGCCTGTAGTTCCAGCTGCACAGGAGGCTGAGGTGGGAGGATTACCTGATACCAGGAGTTTGAGGCTGCCGTGAGCTGTGATCATGTCACTGCACTCCAGCCTAAGTGACAGAGCTAGGATCCTATCTTAAAAAAAAAAAAAAAAAAAAAGAAGTAATTTGAAGTATATAAATATTTTAAATCAAATGAAAGAGAAATTCTGTATTGCTACCCGCATAGTTGTTTATTAATGGCTGTTATAATAGAAGTTATGTAATTGTGAAGGTGGTCACTGGTTTTCTTGCAACGATCAACAGAAAGGAAGGATAGGCCGCAGTTATGCCCATGGACTGTGGAAGGACTGCCCTGTGGCTCTGTGCTGGAGGTGTTTATGCAGTCTGCACTTGCCCTTTAGAGAAGTATTAGAATCTTCAATATGTAGATATGATAGACTCTTCAATATATAGATATGGGATATGTGTAATATGAGAATCAGAGGCTAGGGCAGACCAAAGGGCAGCCATGTGTTTAGACACACGCTGGGTGTAAAGCCCAAGTCTACCCAAGGTTCTTCTATCAAACCCCTAAGCAGACCTTGCACACCAGTTCATTTCTTTACAATATCAGGGTCATACATGCAACAGGAAAGTTGGTTGAGGGAAGTTGGACAATGGGGAAAGTAGAATTGACAGGTTACAAGGAAACATCAATGCCTGGTGAAATATTAGAACGATCTATGGAAACCGTGAAAATCTTCAGTCAATTAGAGCAAGGAAGAGACCAAAAAGGTCGTATGAAGAGGGGAAGAGACTGTTAAGCGGACACAGGTGAAAGAGAGGAGATTTAAACAGCGATCGTAGTTGTGCCAGGAGAAAACTAGACTTTCCAGACCTTCTCGCTTTATTTTCAACCTGTAAATCATGTGCTATCATCTCTAGATGTGGATGGAGGGAGCATTCATGCATTTTGAGTACTCAGAAATTCAGAGAAATGTGATGCTTGCCAGGACCCTGTGTTTAGTGAGCACTGAAGTATGTGCTCCACCTAGGTCTCTCTCTTCCATAGCATAGGATAAAAGAATGCTAAATATTTAATTCTGGTTAAAAAATGCAACCAAAGTCCTGAATATATTTCTAATGTGCATTTCTTGGGGAAATTCCTCCTATTCACCAGGGGAACAATGCCGCCCTCTCATCGCGTGGTCTTTAGGCAGAGCTTCACAGAGCACTGGCCCCTCATCATCCTGAAATGTGTATGTTTTACCTTTACTTGAGTCC